GAACTTGTAACTGAGAGCAAATCATGGAAGGCATAATGATTCCACACTTGGATGCCTGGGGAGGTAACTGCAGAAAGCAGATGCTACTTAGTAAACAAGAATCAGAGCAACAGGCATTCATGAAGGAGTCAGCTTTAGTGAAAATGGAAAAGCAAACTAAGGTTGAAAACTCAGACTCTGCTTTGGTTTAGAGGATGGAAAGGCAGCAGGTAAATAATTATGATAACTCAAAAAACAACAAGACCAATCATGAAGTTGTATTCTGCACCAGGCACTGTCCTAGCACGCTTACAAGTGCTCTTTCTAATTCTTACCACATCTTTGAGGGTGACACTATTCATCTTTCCTAGCCCTAAGATGGTGTTACGGTGCTGAGAGTCATAGGGAGAAATACAGGAGTGAAGCCCACATTTGGATATAGGATGTGTGAGCATCTATTTTAGATTTTATGAGCTGTCTATCATCTGCTCTGAACAAAGGAGGACCCATTCTTTAATTTATGAAACTGGGAAAATATTCTTAGTGCACTTAAAGACATTTGGCTTTGGAGGCTAAACCAACATTTAGGTCTTCTTTATGACATATGCTTAAGATAATTCATGCCTTTTCTAAAGCAGATATTGTAAAAATCCCATAATGCATATTAGCAATATTTAATGAGCATTAAAAAAATTGGATTGAGTGCTCTGGCCACGTAGTGAACTCTCCTAGAGGTAGGGATTCCTAGCCACTGGAGTCGGAGAAGAGATAAAAAAACTACTATTTCCAGTGATCTAATTGCAAATTTACACAGTAATGACAAAAATCAGCATTCATATCAAAAACTGGCATCTTTACCAATTTTAATGTGTGTGTCACCAATAGCTTAAGTTTCTTAATTAAATAAGCACTAAAATCAAAGTCCTAGAAAATATGAATGGGTTGGTTTTCCCTAAGGGATGAATCACTTAAGCATTTTTACTTTTTGGCTGGGACAAAAAAACAAAAACAAATAATAAACAAACAAACAAAAAAAACCTGTCCACCCAGGAGCTAATCCATTTTCCACACTCATTATGATTCAGATGAGTCTTTTGTAAGACAAAGATGTCGGCATAGCTTTTTTCAGTGGCTGAGAACGCCTTTCTTATTTGGACTCTACAAATAAAGAGGACCCTCTGGATTTAATTAAGAGATTTTTCACCTGCCATCATTGATTCATTCGGTTCACAAACATTTATGGAACACGTGCTCCGTGCAAGACACAATGTTAAATACTGTATTACACCCAGAGTTAGGCCACAGTGGGCCAATCATAAAACCACTCTTAATTAATCTTGTGATTTTTAATGATTTACTTCTTTCATTCAACAAGGCCTTATTAACGGCGAGTGCTACCTAGGCTAGGCGCTGGGGCTGACCCAGTAAACTCACCATCTCTGCCATCACACACTCATAACCTAATGGGGGAGGCAGACACATAAACAAGTAATTACTGCAAAAAGGCTGTGATGATGTAATGGGGCTTGTGTGTGTGTCAGTATATGCACATGTGTGAATGCAGAAGTCAGCAGGTGAGTGTATGGACTGAGCGAGAACATGCAGGTGACTGTGAGCTTGTGTGCGTGCTCCTAGAGGGAGTAGGAGAGAAATCAAGGAAGGCCTCCTGGTGGAGGTGACACGTGAGGGAGTCTTGAAGGACAGACAAGAGCCCAGGAGACATGTGTGAGGGGAGATGGCAGGAGAGTCTGGGAAGACAGAGAAGAGATGGAGACAGACGGAATGAGAGGATCATGCTTGAGTATTATTTAGGTGGAACCACAGGAACTTGCCACTATTAAACTATTTTGACATACCGACACTTTGCTATGGTTTAAATGACATTTCCAGGTGACTCAATAGTGATGACACCCATGAATAACCACGATATCGGGATCTATTAGTATCACTGCTGCTGCTATTTTCATTTCCCACTCCCCACCATCAGTGACTCTGTTAGGACCCAGATTGCCGCTGTCTAGGGAGATTGTGTAGATGGGTGAAGTGACAGTCTTGGCCACCCAAGGTAGACTGGGGTCAGGAAGATGGAATTCAGGACCACAATGGGGAATGAGCCTGGATAAGTTCATCTTCTCCTGAGCAGCAACATGGGCCAGCTTCTGCCAAGACCCGTGCATGAATTACCTCTATCCCACCAGCCCCAAGGAGGGTATTTTTATCCCCACCTCACATATGGAGAAACAAGAGCTCAAGGAGGCTCCATTCCTCCCTCGCAGCGAGGCACTGGGAAAGGGAAACCCTGTGATTTTTCTGGGACACGGCCCTCCAACAACCTCAAGAGCATGACCACAGGTAGAACTTGAGGGGACGGGACCATTGCCAGCTGGTGCTCAAGTTACTGCCGGCAAGACAAAGGACTAGAGAGTAGATATAGCCCAGCGCTGATCAGAGTCTGAGGTCATAGCTTTTTTTATTTATTTATTTATTTATTTTTATTTTTATTTTTTTTAATTTTTTTTAAAGATTTATTTATTTATTCGTACAGAACTGGGGTACAGGCTAGAGATGTGGAGGGTGAGAGGATTCACCAGAGACAGAGCGGGGAGCAGAACAGGCAGATCGACGAAGTACATTGCTGAGGGGAGCAGCGGGCGGGTCAGGAGAGGTCTGCCTCGCCATGTGGTCGCCTCCGGGGCAGGCGGGGATCGAACTCATGCGGAAATGGCTTCAGTTTCTTAGTGCAGTGCTTTAACCCGCTGCGCCACCAGGGAGGGCCGGTCATAGCTTTTTAATGGCCTTGATTGAGATAGAAAGGGAGAAAGAGGTGAGGGTGGGAAATGGGGGTGTGGCAGGTGAGAAGAACCCCAGTAACTGAGAAGTGAGGCTGCTGCTTTCCTCTCCTACCAGCTGGCGTGAGAGTTCAAGTCTGTTCAATGTGCCAACAATAATGTACATTCCATGCAGAAAGGTCCCTCAGGACAACAGAACACGAGAGCATGTGAAAGACTGTGCAGACTTCATACGATGAAAACATTTTCCCAGATTTATTCCCTTAAAAATGTACTGAAAGGCCCTCCCTGGTGATGCAGTGGGTTAAACACAGCACTAAGCAGCTAAAGCCACTTCAGCATGAGTTCGATCCCCACCTGACCCGGAGGTGACCCACATGGCGCAGCAGACCTCTCCTGACCCGCCCACTGCTCCTCTCAGCAGTGTACTTTGTCAATTGGTCTGTTCTGCTCCCCGCTCTGTCTCTGGTGAATCCTCTCACCTCTGGCCTGTACCCCAGTTCTTGTATGCATACATAAATCAATCTTTAAAAAGAAAGAAACATGGTTTTCTTTAGAGTTTGCAAGGGAAAATAACTTATTTTGTAAAGGCAAAAGTAAGTTCTCCCTGCAGAGCAGAATTTATAGTAAATCTTTCCAATGGAAAACATGACCACAAATACATGAACCACTCAGTAGGGCCTCTGCTCTCTTCCAGTAATTGTATTCAAGTACAAAATGCTTCCTGAAAATATTTTCTTGATGACTGGAATGATTTTTAAGATTTGCAAAGCCCAAGCTTTCTGTGAGTACCTTTTCAGTTCATTATTATTATTTTTTGCCTCTGAGTTATACATTGACAGGTAGTCAGAATGTGACAGTTTCAGCATATCTTCAAAAACCATCGAAGAATTAAAGCAGTGGGTGCACACCAAATGACCAAGCAGTTCATCCACGCTAATCTATATTTTAATTTAATTTTTAAGTGCCTGGTGATGAAGTCTAGCATTCTCCTGACACGCAGGGGGTAGCCAGCTCCTATTCATCAGCTGCTCGACAGCCACTCAACTACAAGACATTATTGGACGGTCGAACATGGCCTTACACACGGTATTCTTTTTCACTGTTTGCATTTCCCTCTCCCCTCTGGTAGCTCATTGTTCGATGTAATAAAAGCTGGTATTTAGCAATGCAGTTCCAGAGACACCAAGTTGAATTTACTTTCCTGAGGTCACGTGGTCACAAGGTGCAGGGATAATTTTTGATTTGTAAAGTGTGTGTCTAAGCTCAGCTAGTGCAGACGCCTGGGCCCCCAGAATGGAGGGACAAGCGGAGGCAGGAGGGGCGGAGGAGCTCAGGTCTCCTTCACAGAAAGTTGTCCAGGTCACGCTGCGTTGTGGAGCTGCTGATCTGAAAAGCCTAAGACTTTGACCCTTTCAGTTGCTTTTGTCAGAACCACTTATGGTTTTGAGTCTTTTGCACAAGGCATGTTTCCAAGGCTCCTGGACCCCACTGCTTGTGATCAGTAGCTTTAGGCATGGAAGGGCCTTGCTAAATAGTGTGTGTTTGGTGGGGGGATGCTCGTGTGCTGGCCTGGCCTGGCGTGGCTCCCACGCAAACATGCCCTGGAGGCTGGGGAAAGACACAGCTGGCCAGAGGCTCCCGTCCCTCATCCACTGAACCCAGTGATGCAGGTGGCTCGGGGGCTGCAGTCCAGCCCAAGGGAACACAGGGCAGGTCCAGGCGCTCAGCCCAGAGAGAATGTTCCCTATTGAAATCGCGTCGGGAACACGGCCCTTCAAAGCCAGTCGCTGTGGGTCCTTCTGTTATTTGGAAAAGACCATGTCAAATGTCTAACAAAAGTGTTTAAACAGTCCCTCTCCTTTTTGGTGATTTGTGTAGAAAAAGAAGGTTAAATATGCCTGTCCTGGGTAGAGAAAACGCACATATCCCAGGACCATCGTTTATTCTTACATAATACTTACGGAACTTACCACTGGGTACAGCGACGTAATGCTTGAAAATTTAGTTAAAAGTAACCAGCATCCTTAGGTTTGAAATCCCTTGGACTAGAAAAATGGTCTGTACTTTAAGACAGAATTTAAGACAGCGTCTGGGCCAAATGTAGATGATGAAACAAACTCTGACAACAGTGTTGATAAAATTCATCAGAACCCACAAGAAAACAGAATTTTTCCTGCTAGGTCTAAAGAGTAAAACACAAATTACATTCTTTGAAGCTTCAAAAAAATATTTAATTAGAAAGACATGGATTTTCTTCCATTAAGTTTAATGAGTGCGCTTATTTACATTAAAATAAACCCTTCAATAATGACTTTCGTCTTCTTTTAGGAATTTACTTTAAAAACAGGCATAACTCCTTTACTCAATGGTCTAAAAAACACTGTCTCCCGTAACACGGTAAATATTCGCCTTGTCTTGCTGAATTAAAGGTTGTGTCCCAGCCTTCCATTGTGAGCTCGTTTCTATATGAGTCATTTAAAATTTTATTACTGTAGGCATCACACAATGGGGCAAGTGTTAATAACTTGATACTGTACAACTGGCGACCAAGTCGTAGGAAGCTGAGGCCTCAGGGCCAGCGGCTGTTCATTTATTTTCCCATATTTAAATCAATTGTGGGGGCTTTCAGACAATAAATTGCGTGTCCATCTCCGGTAATAAAATTGGCACGCCGCGCAGTAGAAGAAGCGTGTGCTTCACTAGGGTCACTTAGGGGCTCCCCCTTCCGGTGGGTTCTTCTCGGTGCCATCTTCGGCAGGGAAGGCGCAGCGTGTGGAAGCAAAGTAACATTTTGTCTCGTTAAACTCTCTGTTTCACTGGGATAGCTGAGTCCAACTTTTCCGGCTTCTGTAAAGCTCCCACTTACTGCTGGAGGGGAATTCTTTTGTCTGGGGAGCGGAACAAGATAACCGACTTAATCTTCCTAGTTACACGTGAGTCGCCATGTATCATTTTAATCTGCGAAACACTGGGGCTGAGTAGTGTCACATGCTGATTTTACTTTTCTATGAGAAAGTGACTCCCCGGTTCAATGATGGATGGCTTGTTCTCTTTAAACAACAGTCAAGATGGTGAATGCCCGGGGGTGACAGCCAGAGTGTGCAGTTCAAGTTCACCTGACAAAGCTGGAGCAGGCTGCAAGCAGCATTCGAGAAAGGATTATTCACACTGGCATTATCGTTTTGAATGCATTTTTCTCCTTGTGCAGCTGCAAAGCTCCTTCTCACGGAAGGTTTATGCACCATAATAAAGAGATTTACTCTTTCCCCTCACTTCCTCTTGCTTCTTACTTTACACCTACTTTCTAGCGAGCTGTTCAGACAGAGGACATCTGTATATCCCAAACACACAGAACAAACATCACCTTCAAAACAATAGCCGGGCTAACAGGCAGCAACGAAGGCCTGATGTTTCTCATGTCTGAAGGGACAAAATGAGCTCTGTCAAGTGGACACGTTGCTTTTTAAATATGGCCATTTCACACAGCTCTGAGTGCAAAAGAGTAAAATAGAAACTCTGTTTGATTTAGAAAAATGATAATGGAATATCCCAATATCCACTTTGCTACGAGAAAGAATGGGAGGCGGTTAGAAACGGTTTTAGACAAAAATAAAAAAAAAAACTTTTTCTTCTCCAACAAATTGGAGGTGGCACTATGGAATTATTTTTCTTTCTTTCCTTCTGACTGTCTTTCTACCTACCTACTGCCTGCCCACACCCACCCCTTTTGCAGCAGGGTTTTCTGAAGCCTGAAGAGCTCAGAGAGTCTTTGCTTCTGAAACCAAAACATGAATTCTCAACTTGTTCTGCCAGCTGAAGCAAGACTTAGCTAATAAGCATTTACCAAGCATATAAAATACACATACATATCGCTAACATTTCACTATTCATTCACTCATTCATTTTCTTAGTGAAAGCAAAATGAACAAAGCAAATGCCAGAGGTGCTGAGGGGTAGAAAGCCCGGTTCAGGCCATGACAACTGCAGTTCCAGGATGCCCTGAGCGACCCCCATCTCCTGGAGCTGCCAGGAGACTCCTCCCCAAGGCACCAGAGCTGGTCTGTGACTAAAGTATGAAGAAGAGGTGATTCTGTATCACGAAGCTGCACATTGTAACCCCCTGCCAGGAACTCAGCTCTCCAACCTACACGTTACACCTAGATTCCACCGAGATGTTCAGACAGAGGACATCTATATCCATACTACACAGAACAAACATCATCTTCAAAACCTTTCCAGCCAGCAAAGTAGCTTCAGCCTGACCCTTCCATTATAAACTTCCCCGTCAACTATTCTGCTAATAGTTTTAATAGTCATCCATCATTTTTGTCCAGGTTAATTATTTCAATAGAGGCAACGCCAATAGTATCCAACCTCTTAATCAGTCAGTCTCTTAAGCCAGAGTTTTATTTTCAGCTGTGCTCTGTGTTTGTTGTGGTCAGTTCCCCTCGCTGCAGGGCTTATATTGGTAGCAGCTAATAGTTCCTTGACACTTTCTGGGTTCCTGTAGCAGAGGGAGAGACTCAGAGACCCCAGAACCAGTCCCCTGGCACCATCTAAGCCCAAAGAGACCAGGTAGTGCCAAGTCCTGGGTGCCTGGAAGGAAAGAGAACCGGACGTCACAAATAGCACGAGTTACCTCCACAGAGACTAGGACTTAATGTAGCTTCTCAACTGAAGGTCTTGTCAAAGAAAGACGACGGCATATTTCATTGCATTCCACATGCTGGTGATTGAAGAAGTAAAAAATCCCCCTCTTTCCAAAATTGGTAGTGACATCTTTGTGCTCCACAGAGTGGATCTGGGGATCTGTGAGGTAGATGAGCCCTTTTCCGTTTCCTGTCACCCAACCTAAAAGGAAATTAACATGTCTGAGACGTTAGTCTTCTATGTAAGTCACTGAAACGCTTCAGGAAAAAAAAATGCATATATGCTAAAGAAACACTTAATACTTGGTTGTTCTATGAAACCACTATGGAAAACTGTTTGGAGGTTCCTGAAACTGCTAAACATGGAACTTCCATTTGACCCAGCAATCCCACTCCCAGGTATCTACCCAAAAGACACAAAAATACTAATTCAAAATACTGCACCCCCATGTTTATTGCTGCTTTATTTACAATTGGAAAGACAAGGAATCAACCCAAATGCCCAAAAGTGGATGACTGGATTAAAAAGATGTGGTACAAATACACAACAGAATATTACTCAGCCACCAAAAAATATAAACACATGTCTTTTGCAGCAACATGGATGGAGCTGGAAAAGATCATGCTTATTGAAATAAGCCAGAAAGAAAAGGAAAATTCTGGATAGTTTCACTCATAGCAGGACCAGGGAAGAAAATAATAACAATGAACAACTGTATACCTGAGACATTTTATGGGGTAGGATGGGGAGTGGGATAAATAACGGTAGGGGGAGGGAAGTGCACTGGACTATGGTGATGGCACACAGGTGATTTGGTGATAAGAAGCCCACGGGATTACAAATGAGATGGAAAAAGGCACAAAATGATGTAAAAATAGACTATTACATTATTTAAAGAAAACATGGTTGTTCTATGAACTGGTAAATCTTTGCTAAGCATTGTGACATTCCAATTACTGATTTAAGAATGAGAGTTGAATACTAGGTAGTTAAATTTATCAAAGAGAACAGATACAGATCACTGATTTTCAAAGACTTAGAGAGCAATAGAATAAATATACTTAGTATGATAACTACAATCACCATATTGAATGTTTCCTTCATCATTCAGAGGTTTCCTTTCCTCAGTATTTTACACAATAACATATTCATCTGTTCATTTAATGAGTATTTACTGAGCCATATGCAGTATAAAATACGGATTCAGACCCTGAAATTCTGACTGTGTTCCTAAATTATCTCTACACTCATTGAGCTAACATCCCTGTGAAGGGGAATTATAATAAATCTGTCATTTAATTGAAGCATAACATATTGGCTAATGAATCTCACAAATAAAATGTCTGATGAACTGAAATAGAATTAAAATATTAATCTTGATTTGAAAAGAAGTCAGAATGAATACACACAACTTTCTGTTCCATGATATCAATTATGAAATCCAGTCTCACACTACAATAGAGGCTGTGGCTGAAGAAAGGAAAGAATGGAAAGATTTTAACAGGTGAAAATAAAAATGCAATAATAACAAAGTTCCATCCCACACACTGACTCGAATGGAATAAAAAAGCTGTCTGGGATTCTTTCTAGAAATAAGCACAAAAGGCTGTTAGTCATATATTTTCACTGATTACACAACACCTTAGATACTTACAGAAGCTTCTGACATGTTTTTTTTCAGGCATCATTTGTTAAATCAGTAAAATCAATTAATTTCAAATACTTTAGTAGCTGATGCACTGAACACTCTACTGGATCAGGACTGGTAGGCTACTCACAAAACCTAATGTTTATATAGAAATTATATTAGAAGTGAAAAATCACTGTCAGTTTCACATACCTTGTAAATCGACCACAACGTCTTTATGGTTGGAGAACTCATAGGAAAAATGACCGTAAGCCAAGCCATAATCGGTGGCTTTGTATTCTGTTTTCACCACTTTTGTGTTGTTTGATAACTTTACAAATTCTCCAAGTATGTAAGGTTCCACACTGATGCATCCCTTTATTGTATTGCCTTCCAAAATCTGAAATAGATATGGGAGGTGGTAAGACATGAGGTCAATCTGTGGGCAGTGGGGTCAGGCAGATGTCTGAACTGAGATTTTGCCACTTAGGATGTTGTGATTTCTACAGACTTTAGTTCCCTCATTGGTAAAGCTGATATTGCAATAGTTAGCTAATAGGACTTTTCAAAGAATTAGATGAAAAAATCCTTATAAAGCATATAACATTCTAAGTGGCATAGAATAGAAACTAAAATTATTATTTTGTTAAAATATTGACACAAAGGTTAGGCCAGAAGAGGGACATTGGTGTGTGTGTGGGGGGGGGGGTGAAGGTGGGGGGATTGGCTGCCAGGGATGTAGACACATCAGGTTCCTGGATTCTGGTACAATAGGAGCTTCCTTGTAGTTGAGTCAAAAGTTAATGTGCTTAAATCTGTATTAATGCTTGACATAAAGAACGTGTAAAGTGAATGACAGCTATTCTAAGTGATAAAATATGGATGTAAAAGTATCTGTGGCCAAAGTTAGGTGTGCATTAGCTTTGAATTCAACATATTTGATGAAGTAGACCAATGAAGAACAAAGTGTGTGTGTGTGTGTGTGTGTGTGTGTGTGTGTGTGTGCGTGCGGGGGCTTTATAGACTTAAAGAATTATTTCTTGGTGAAGCGAGATGGGTCTCGTGCTCCCAGAAGACAGAGTTGTAATCCATAAGTAGTAAGAGGAGAAAGACAGATTTGGATCAAATGTAAAAACTTCCTAACAGAATTGTTTGACGTTGAAAAGGTGACAATTATTTTGTTCTCACTAAGGTGTTTAAGCTATGGCTTAGTGATTATCTGGCTACTAGGGTGGGGAATGCCATATGTAAAACAGGATTGATGTATCGTATTAAGGGGATAATTTGCACTAGGCATGAACTCTAAGGTTCTCTGTCTCTCCTGAATTTATACAGAGAAAACAAATGAGAAGTATAAAAAAGATGCTAACTTGAATATGTTGGACCAGATACCTGGATCAACAGATTCATGGGTGACTTTGAAGAGCTAAATTGTACTTTCTACATCTGTCAAAACAGAAAAGCAGATAAAGAAGCCTGATAACGGAGTTTTGGGTTTTATCAGAATAATGGAAGATGGATGGGAGGTCAGCAACAGAATCTAACCTAATCTATATTCATAGGGCAGTTGAACCAAACCCTTGCTTTCTTCCATCTTACCAGTAAGATGGTGGATGGGATGTAGAAAATCTGTGTGGGAATCTTTTGTTCATAAAGTCTCTTGTTAAATTCTGTCACGTAGTGTTGCGCGGTCATCTGACGCTCTACATCGGCAAAGTGGCTCCACAGCCCCTTCTGTTCCTTATATTCTTTCCCGACATATCTACACGTGGAAGAAAACCACACAAGGACATGCAAAACTATTCTTACTCTAGAGCAACAGAGAGAAGTCAAAAGGGGTATTCAAAAGATAGTTCCTTCTCTCCTTTATATAGTGAATATTAATTACCTCATGAAACATTTCAGGGGCCACCTGAGCAATGGAACCCAATTTATGTAAGCTGACTGTGATGATCACTGTGGTGTCTTCCTGACTGGTACTGGAGTGTCCAGACTCTTGGTCAAACAATATTCTGTGGTGTGTGTGTGTTTGGATGAAATTAACATGTAATCAACATAGAGTAAAGCAAATGGCCTTTTATAATGTTGGTGCGCCCCATCTAATCAGTCGAAGAATTACTCATGCCTGACTTGGAGGTGAACTGAAATAATGGGGCTCTTCCTGGATGTCCAGTTTTTTTTTTGATGTCTAGTTTATTGATTGCAGATTAATTCCATAGACAAATGAACCAGTTTCTGATTATAAATCTCTGCTTGTATAAATCGATCTCCTATTTGTTCTATTTTTCTGTAGAATGCTGAGCATCTTGATCGAGGTGATACACATTATAAAGAAAAAGTGTCCACTTAAAGTAGTAGTAGCAGTTCACCAGATGTGTGTATTAAGGGTTCAATATTCACTGAACCCTTGGCTATGCTGTCTCCTTGGATTAGACCTCAGAGGATTTTCATGCCATTTTTTCAGTCTTATCCATAAACTTAAAATGAGTGTTCACTGGTAGAGAGACTCTTCATTAAGGCCCTCTGACTGGTCATATGTTTCTTATCTGTAAATGAGGGGTGATTAATGTTTCCATAATGGGCTTGAAACCTCAAACATAGAACATTCAGTTACATGACTGATATAATACAGGTCCTTAGTAAATGGTAATGACTCTCAATGAAAGGGAGAAGGGTGAACAGTGGAAATAGTAAAACAGACATTTTGCTGCTCTTTCAAACCATACCTCCCCAGAGTTTCTTCCTGATGAAGATGATGAACCCAAAATGCATTTCTTTGTCTGCCTTTCTTCTTTACATTCAGGTAGTCCCCCAAATACACAAGAGTTTCCTGGGCTGTCCATAATTCAGATTTCTTGGAATATTTTAACATAAGAGCACCTGGAAGAAAAGATGAGGTGAAAGTGAAACTTATTGTCAAGAGAATATTACAATTCATGAACAAAGTTCAAGTGACGTAAGTCTTAATCCATTTTATCTGAAATCTTTACCTTCCTCGTGCATATTCTTAAAGTTCAGTCTCTATGATACTGCTAAGAAGCCAGTGAAATGCAACAAAAAGTAAAGCTTTACAAATATACTAAAGAATCACCTCGGATTCACAAAATCATTTATGAGTAGAGACAAATGCATTGCCTTTTTTTTTTTTAAAAGATTTATTTATTTATTCATACAGAACTGGGGTACAAGCCAGAAATGCAGAGGGTGAGAGGATTCACCAGAGACAGAGCGGAGAGCAGAACAGGCAGATGGACGAAGTACACTGCCAAGGGGAGCAGCGGGCGGGTCAGGAGAGGTCTGCCGCACCATGTGGTCACCTCCGGGCAGGTGGGGATTGAACTCATGCTGAAGTGGCTTTAGCTTTTTAGTGCTTTAACCCACTGCGCCACCAGGGAGGGCCACAAATGCGTGGTCTTTTAAATGGCAAAAGCCCTCATACCATCTTCGAAAATTTGATATATGAAACCTGTATATTAGAGGCTACTTACTACTTAAACCAGGTTGCACAGACAGAAGTTAATTAATTTATGCTGAGACATTCCTGGCAACTCCTAAATTACATATTTTAGGGCACTCTAATTTTCTCTTAATTGTTCTAAGTTGAGAAAGATATGAAAGAAAGGTCCACCCACAGGTGTGTGGTGGGGAAGGAGATTGCTGGAGGCTTGCAGGGATGGTGACAGGATTTGGGGGCTCCTTCGGAGAAGCTGGGGGATGGAAATAGAAGCTGGGCTACTTGCACCCACTTTAGGATGGGCAGTGAGTTGAAAGAAGATGGATTTCTTCAACTTGGGGTCTGGCTTCCCCCAGCACGGCTTGTTAGCCATTCATTTCCACACAGAATTAACATTTCAGACGTGATGCTGAAACTACAGAAGCTCACAGTCAACAGCAAAGCCCTCTTAGTGGAGAATTTTGCCTCTTTTCATAGCAAGTTGGTCTGTGTTTTAATTAGCTTCAAGGCAGCAGGCAAAATGAACTTTATATAAAATTATTGGGGAAGGCATAACAAATACTGATGCCAGCATGCACACCCCAGACCCCTAGATTGGAAACTCCAGGCACAAGGCACTGGAAGTTTTACAAAGCCCTTTGATGGTGGTAGCGTTGAGAGGGAGAGCCCACATTGCTCAGCAAGCCACGTGTTTCCTCTAAATGCACTTAGCAATAGCTTTTTTCTTTTTTTTTTTTTTCATTCAAATAATCCTGCAATCTTTTGGAGGGCATTATTGAGGTGATCCTCTAACAGAAGCATGTTCTTTTGTCTTCTTCCCAGCTTCTCCACCATTTCTGATCTGTTAGAAATGGATTTTAGGGTGCCTGCCACCCCCCCCCCCCGCCCCCCTCAGGCTCCCTGTTCTTAAGCAAAGCTGGATACGACATAAAGGTCACTTGACCGGTAAGAAAGCTCTTAGCTGGACAGGTGTGAAGAGCTCTGCCAAAGAGAAAGATGAGGTCTGTTCAACTAAAGAAAACTGACTCTGGAATCTGAATGGAGAAAAATGAAAACCAACTGGACACTAATGAGAACCCACCAAGAAGACAGACACCAAGGGATGTCTTGCATCCAAATTGGCTTTCAGCCCTGATGGGTGACTATTCCTGGATCCCCTCACTACCTGTCTGGCCTAATGCTTCCATCCCTGTGTGAGGAAGAATGAGTGAGCCCTTATTCTTTGCAGCCAACCGAGTCCACCACATGGGGTGAGCACCTCCAGACCAGCCTGCAGACTCACAAAACCTAGTGAGGGGCTATGGTTGAGGTAGCCCAGATACCAGGTTTACCAGAAAGCCCCAAGCATGGAGAGGGTTTTCCTGAGCTGCACCTCCTAGAAAGGTACTTACGGTGTGCCCCACGGAGCTGACTGGGCTTAAAAACACCAGTGTTCTCCAGTCTCTGGAACAGCCACTCATGCTTCACCCCTGCCAGGAGCTTGTTGAAGTCGTCAGGCTGCAGGGTACGTGCCTGCAGGGTCTCCTGCCTCACCGCTCCTGGCCGAGAGACCGAAGAACTGCTGCTGGAGTATAGAAATGACCAGGGGTTGTCTGCCTCAGAACTGCTGGAAAATGCAGATTTTAGGCACCAGGACGAGGAGGTCGAGCTGGAGTTCTGGCTGCAGTTGAACAAGTTTGCAGGCTCGTTGCCTTCCTCTGTGGTCGTGCAATCCTCGCTGGCAGCAGGAAAGGATCCAGGGGTCGCAGGCCCCAGGCCCGGTGGTCGCCTGAGAGCCCACTGAGCCTTGCATGGACCTGTGGAGTGGACATCTGTGTCATCCAGCACGTGGCCCTCCTCATCCACTGTGGGGGCATCCGGATCCACTTCTTGGTCTTTGGCGGAGACGCTGCGTTCTCCCAAGGCAGGATTCTGAACAGGCCAGCGAGGAGCACCAGAGCCACCTGCTCTCAAGGAACTTCTGCCCAGAGACGTGTCCATGGCTACTTGAGACTCGAAGGGCACATCCACGGTGCTCTCTGCTGTTTCTCCCTCTGGGTCAACCCAGCAGGGAGAGTCTCCGAATGTGGGGCTGGTGCCTCGCTTATCAATCTCGTCTCTCTTCTCTTCTCCATGTCCACCTGTGGCATCACAGTCGGTTTCTGGAAGCTCATCAATGATCTCAAAGGTTTCTTCTTGGAGTGATGGCCACGTGGTCACGTTGCTGGGCCAAATGGAGTCAGGAGACCGACAGGCAGAACCACACGAAGGTCTGGGAGGAGCAGGACTGCTGATGGGTCCCCTAACTCTCGCTTCCTGCTGGCCTTCTGGAGCTGCAGCTACCAGCCCTGCCCCAGAGGCTACGGACGTGCCTGCTGCATTACGAGGAGTGTGGCCATTGCTGGCCACGTGGGAGTGCACGGGCCCCGAAGAGGACGTGGTGTTAGCACCCTCACACACCTGGAGAGACAGCCACTGCAGCTCTGAACACATGGACGGGGGAGCTCTACTCTCAGCATCGTCCTGCAGCTCCTCAGACAGTGCGGTGGAACACTGGGTGTCCACCAGCTGTTCCCTGGGGCAGGACGTTTTCCTGACTGATGGGTCCTGCACATGGTCGCTCACGTCCTCCCAGCTGGTTGAAGCACTGAGCCCGGACAACCTGCTCCAAGACCCTGAGCTCTGGCTGTCACTCAGAGGTGTGCTCACAATAGCACCCCCACCGTCACTGTGGTCATGGCAGCCAGCTTCCACCTCCACAGCTGGACCTGAGGACACTCGGAAAGCCTGCGCAGGGCTCTGGCTTCTCCCACTGGCCCTCCCGAGCTCCTCCTGGCCGCCCTCACCCCTTTGGGAGGAAGAACCCCCCTCGCCTTTCGGGAGATGTGGCTTGTCCTCGGTTGTACTCACTGTATCTGTGTTTTTTGTTTCCGTCTTTAGAGCGGTGATACAGAGGCCCATTTTGGAAGCTCTCTGTTTATTTCTGTCGTTTCTACAAGCCCTTTCGAACTCTTCGCACACGGCAGTATGGTGCTGGGAGTAGGCCTGGAGGACTTTTTGGAAGTCCACCTGCCCACGCAAGACGAGTTTATCCAGCTGACACTTGAAACCCTCTGGCACATAAGACTGCTCGTCGAGATTCGAGAAGCTCTGGACTCGCAAGTGTTCCTTCACGCGGCCGACCACAGACATGATCTCCCGAGAGAGGGCTTCCTTCTCCTGGCTGTCGGAGAAGGTGCTGAAAGCGTACAGCTTTTCCACCGCTTCCCCGCAGAGCCGACTGGCCACCCCCACCGGCTCCAGCTCCCCGGAAAGCCGCCGGTGCACCGTCGCGAGACCGAACGCAGCTTTGAGGAAACTGTGGAGCTCCTGCTTGCCAGTCACCGGCTCATCTTGTCGCTTGGTGAGGAGGCCGATCTCAAAGGCCTCTTTGGCTTCACACAGGTAGGAAGTCTTCATTCCTGGGGGACAGTCATTAGAACTACTGTAGGACAGCAAGCACGTGCCACGGATATTCTGTGGAAAGAAACAAAAGCCAAGTCAGACACTGAACGGGAGCTGGAGGCCAGGCAGACAGCACCTGTCACCTGCAAATGAGTCATGTCTATACTGGAGGATGAGAAGCAGGCGGCGAGGAAAATGCTGCCAAACCCCGAGACTCTGGGCTCTACACAAATTGGGGTGGCGTGGATTAGTGCAAAATTAGATTTGTCGTCTTTCTGTAGCCTCAAACTTTTGATTCCAGATGATCTATCTGCTGTTGCTATTGTTAGTTTTAGCAAACGCGGCCTCTACAGGGTGTGGATATAATAAATCTGTGTGCAGACAAGGCAGCCGCCATGCAGCACCCCATTTAAGAGTTAACATAGAACAATAATGGCTTCAACCTCTCTGGGTGTTTGGAGGACCTGGAAGTATTTAAACATTTAAAGATTCTGGGGGACCAGGTCTATGGATATGGTCACGACTGGGTACTGACCCTTTTCCTCTTACTGGTTCCACGACAGGGGGGCATGGGGGGGGGTGAGGTGAGGTAGGGTGGGAGGAGCTATTCTCCATTACCATAGCTGAGAGCACGAAGAGGGGCGTGTAGGGGCTGAAAGCAGCTGCCAGCTTGCAGGCTTCCGCGGCTGATAGCAAATGGTGGTGCAACTCCGTCAGCAGACCCTGCAAGAAAAGGGGAGGCCATGAGGTGTGGGGGATTTCTGACCTCCTAGTGAAGGGCAGGCTGTGAAACTCCTTTTTTTTTTTTAAGGTTTATCTTATTGATGCATATAGAACTGGGGTACAGGCCAGAGGTGCAGAGGCAGTAAGAGGATTCACCAGAGGCAGAGTGGGGAGCAAAACAGGCAGATGGAGGAAGTACACTGCTGAGGAGAGCAGTGGGTGAGACGGAAGAGGTCTGCCGCGCCATGTGGGTCACTTCTGGGGATGGAGATCGAACTCATGCTGAAGTGGCTGTGGTCAGCTTTGCAGTGCTGTGCTTTTAACCTGTTGTGCCACCAGGGAGCACCCCTCTTTTGCTTTTCTTTCAAGATGCCAAGGGACGCCTGCCCTTATCACATTCGATTCTGAGCCACGCCAGGGAAGAGTGAGTGGATCAGAAGATGCTGAGGGACAGACCGTCCTTGGCCCTAGGACCCAGAGACCCTCCAGCCCTCCCCACCCCAGAGAGGGTCTATTGAGCACAAATCAATCCAGACCAGCTTCTGCGGAGGACCAGGGCAATCATTTGTTCCCAGACACTCTGCACATTTTGCAACCAGGTAAACTTGACAATTTCCACCTTGTTCTTAGCAAAGGGTCCTTTAACTTATGATTCAATCTAATGAAGATTCACTCTTCCATTCAGTCTGCACTGAGTACACCCATTTGCCAGGAGAGCAGTTCGCTGTGTGTACTAATTGCTCAAAGACCTAGTTTCTGCTCCTGGCTCTTTCTGACTGGGTTGGAAAAGCGCAGGTCACTTCTTTCTTCTGGACCTCAATTTATTTTTCTTCCAAAAGAAACTGATACATGTTGCTCTGCTTACCTCATAGGGGTTTATGTGGATCGGATATTTATTTATACATACAAGTTCTGAATTGTAAAGCAATATCTAAAAAAAGTAGTAATCATTATTATTAAGGATAAGGACTAGGAGCAAGTGACTGACAGACTTGAACAGATTGTGAATCTAGTTTTAGAGTTATCACCCCTTTATTTTATTACTGAGATGGCCCAACTGTGGCAATCCAATTATCAGGGTAATTGGAAAGGAAACAAGTTGGGTTTGAAAACTCTATACTCACTTTGATGACATTTGTTCATCCAAGAGTCTTTTTTAGCTAGAACACAGCTATTTATTAAGCATGAGAAAACTACTGAAACTTAAGATATGGGAATCTCTTTTGGCTATTTACCAGAAATGTGGACAAGGAAATACTTCTCATTTTTTGAGTGCCTTCTGTATGTTTGGTCCTGTGCTGGGCTCTGGGATAAGCAAGCTAAGGAGGATACCATGGGATTGTTCTAGCCTCACTCACTTCACTCCAGGGGAGAGACACGGCCCCATCGAGTCCAGGAGAGACAAAGTTTGATTGATCAGCCACCTAGAATAAGGCCGACAGCTTGGTGGGTGAGTCATTTTGTACCATGGTATTGACAAGGGATAATTACCACGTTTATTTGTGGATTGTTTTTAAACTTCTCATAATCTTTCTTGCTCATGGAAACAAAGATGTCTGCCAGTATTCCCAGTGAGGTGGAGATTCCCTGGAAGGAAAGACAGACAAAGTGGATTGGGGATTGACAATCATTGTTCTGATGTCAGGGCCTAGCAACAAAAATTAGCCCTCTGTAGGCCACTGCTCATTATCATTATTAGTATCATTGTTATTGTGACACTGGAGATACTTTACCACTAGATGACCCAGGGCTCATAAGACCATCACATCTAAGACTTGGACCTCGTGAAACACAGCAACTTTTTACTTGTTGGATGGCGAATATCTTATTGCCACACTGCTAGGCCTGAAGGGTCAGACCAGTAAGAGCGGCCACAGTTCACCCTACCCGTGTGGTTAAAAAAAAAGCAGGCAGACCCACTGTGGACCTAATTCAGGGAAATGTGATAACTTGATGCTTTGGGTAAGAATAGTCCCACACATTACAGAGAATAAGAAAAAATGATGCTATGTAAACAATTCATTGAAGCCTTTGCCCCCTCAACTCAAGGAAAGTGATTTTACATACAAGTGACCTGGCCATTTCAATTTCACTATAGAATCAGGGAAACGATAAGTATATCAAAAAAGGGCCAGAGGCTCAATAGAAATAAACATAAACACAGATGGTTACAAATAACTAAAGGAACACTAAAGATCTTCCAGGAGTTTTCTGAGTGAGGTCAGAGCAAGATGCAGAAAGAATTAACCAAATGTTCCTGGTTTTATGTTCATGTTGAATCAATAAAAATCAGACCAATAAGGCTGATTATAAATCAGTTAATATGAACTGTGATAAAATGAACTGTGCTACAGTATAACAACATCCAAAGGACAAGCATAGGAAAGGAGACAGAAAGCATTAGAGGAGCATACAACCTTTTTATCTGGCAGAGGAAGTGTTAAGTATCCAATAATGGAGGCCCAGATTAACTCAGCTGCTTCATACCACATCCCTGAAAAAGAAAGAAAGGAACAAGTCACTTGTGTCTGCTTTGGGGTTAGAAAATACTTTGGATACACTGGCTGCAAGTTCAGGAAACTTACGGCTGGGACAGACAGGCAGCAACCTGCTGGCTTCATACCGATAAATTCCCTTTCCCAGAGAGACAGTCAGAGCGATGACATGTAACATGTACTAATGCAGGCATGGTGAAATCCGTTATTTAGAACAAAAGTTAGCAGCCTCTGTTCATTTTCAAATACTTTAGCATGTTTTATCCCCATAGCTCGGTATAAAAGTTTTTATACTCAAACACTTGTGAGTGTTCTGGGGAGGGGGGCGGTGAGGGTGGATTTAGAATGAGGTGTTACTACATCACAGATGACTCCATAGAGGCAGGTATTAAGGAATACTGAAAGCCTAAAGCCAACGCACAACTACAAAGTGCTGCAACAAAACTCAAGAGAACAATACTTTGTTCCATCGATGTTGCTAAGACTCCTTGATGAGGAAGCAAAGGCAGTGGACGATTGTTAAGCAGCTACAACATAGACATTCTCAGTAGCATCTGGCAGTCAGACAGTGGCAACCAGCCAGTGGGGCAGGTGCAGGCAGCCGTACCCAGCTTTTGCAGGATTTGCCCTCGGATCTGTATACACACCGACTGCACCAGGACCTTGTCACTTTCATTTCTGTACAGCCAGGTACCTACAATAAAAGAGGGGGAAAGGAAAGCATGTTTGGCCTTGAGTGACTGCAGAAATAGCCTGGTAAAATGAAACCACTTTCACGGCCCCCTCCCTGATGCAAACGTGGGGGCAGTCTCTCTCCATCTAGAGTAAGGCCGAGCTCCTTCGAGGTTGTACCGACATGGCCCTGGCACAGTCCTAAAGCTCCCCTGTGTGCTAACATGGGTCATCTGTGCATTCTGATGTAGCAAAATCAACTTCTGTTTTCCAACAAGGGTCTCTGTCTACACCTTACAGGGGTTATTCCCAATCACGATATTTGTAAAATAGCTTCTGAGTCCTTCCTGAGGCCTATCGAGTCAGCTGCTCACTAGGTAATACTCTACGATGAAGCAGGAAAATAATACCAGCTTTGTGTTTTGTTTTGTTTTGTTCTAAAGATTTATTTATTTGTACATACAGAACTGGGGTACAGGCCAGAGGCTCAGGGGTGGCAAGAGGCTTCACCAGAGACAGAGTGGGGAGCAGAACAGGCAGATCTACGAAGTACACTGCTGAGGGGAGCAGCGGGCGGGTCAGGAGAGGTCTGCCGCACCATGTGGGTCACCTCCGGGACAGATGGGAATTGAACTCATGCGGAAGTGGCTTGAGCTTCTTAGTGTTGTGCTTTAACCCGCTGCGCCACCAGGGAGGACCCTGTGTTGTTTTTTTTTTTTTTTAGTAATAGAAAACAGACATACAGAGAAGTAAGCTGCTTGACCATGGACACTTGTGCCCATCAGTGTAGAAGCCATCCCGCTGGTTCTGGGAATAGCTGGGCTACAGCAACTGGAGGCCATGAGTTATTGTTTTAAGATTTATTTATGCACACAAGAACTGGGGTGTAGGCCAGAGATGTGGGGTTGAGAGGCTTCACCAGAGACAGAGTGGGGAGCAGAACAGGCAGATGGCCTGAAATACACTGCTGAGGGGAGCAGCGGGCCGGACAGGAGAGTTGTGCTGTGCCATGTGGGTCAGCTCCCTGGCTGGGTATCAAGCTCAGGCCACAGCAGTGACAGTACTGACTTAACCCCTCGCCACCTGGGAGTCCCTCATGAGTTGTTTTTCAACTGGAATCCCGGTAGAGTCAGAGGGCAAAGGTTACTGTGAAGAGTTGAAAGTGCCTTACCTGTGGCTCCATCGTTGCTTATCAGACTGCTCAGGATATATTCTGCTTTTAAAAGTTTTCCTGAAAAGAAGCAACCAAATGCACACAGTTAGCTTAGAGAGTGTTCTTTACATACTACTAGAAAATCGTGTCACATGAGAACAAGGGCCATCACCAAAGAGAATTCTGTTTTAATCAATAACTACACTGTATAAGTATGTGAAAGATGATGGTTTCAGCAGTTGGTGAGATGGGCTGTGGCACAGTATCTGAGCTGGATTAGATTCATAGAGACGGATGAGGGAGGCACAGAAGTCACTCACTGACAGTAGGACTTGAGAAAGGAACATAAGCCTCTGTAGAACAAGTTGTTTCCTTTCAAGCCCTCTTATACTGTGGGTGGGAATGTAAACTGGCCCAGCCACAGTGGAAAGTTCTATGGAGGACACTCAAATTTCTAAAAATGGAGCTACCACATGACCCAGCAATTCTACTTCTGAGAAACTATGCAAAGGACACAAAAACATTAATTTGGAAGGAAACCTGAATGCCTATGTTTATTGCAGCACTATCTATAACAGCCAAGATATGGAAACAATCTCAATGCCCATAAATGGATGAATGGATTAAGAAGATGTGGTATATCTGCACTATGGAAACCTGTTCATACTTAAGACATCAAAAAAGACAAACTGGGCCCTCCCTGGTGGCGCAGCTGGTTAAAGCACAGCACTGAGCAGCTGAGGCCACTTCAGCATAAGTTCGATTCCCGCCTGCTCCGGAGGTGACCACATGGCACAGCAGACCTCTCCTAATCCGTCCCCTGCTCCCCTCAGCAGTGTACTTCATCAGTAGGCCTGTTCTGCTCCCCACTCTGTCTCTGGTGAATCCTCTCACTGCCCCTGCACCTCTAGCCTGTACCCCACTTCTGTATGCATAAATAAATACATCTTTAAAAAAAGACAAACTTATACTATTCACAGCAAAGTGGATAGAAGTGAAAGGGATAATACTCAGCGTTATAAGTCAGAGGGAGAAAGATAAATATCAGATGGTTTCACTGATATGTGGAATATAGAGAAACCAAACAGAAGGTCAAGAAAAAGTCAAAAGTTGACCAAAGATCTGAGGCCTACAGCAAGGGAGGGGAGTTAGGGGTGAAAACAGGGGAGGGAAGGATACAAAGGACTGTGGTAAAGGGTCACAGGTGATAAGGGTGGCAGGAGAATTATGGGGACTAACCTGAGGGAAGAAACCAATTAAGTACAAAAATGAACAATGATGTTAAGAAAACAAAACTATTCCCATCAGGTAATGTTGCCAAACTGACTTCCTTGAGGTGGGACTAATGTATGTAACAAAAGAAAAGAAAAGACAATCAATAAAAAAATAAAAAGAGGCGGGGAAAGTTGTCCCTTTCTGGGAAAGCTGTTGTATTCAAGAGGTGGAATAGAGTTGCCCTGGAACAGGATTATTTACAGAAAGTTCCAGAGGATACTGAGGGGAAGTTTGAGAGATGGTCTCTATTTTTTTTTTAAGATTTATTTATTTATGCATACAGAGCTGGGGTACAGGGGTGTTGAGAGGATTCACCAGAGACAGAGTGGGGAGCAGAACAGGCAGAACGACAAGGTGCACTGCTGAGGGGAGCAGCGGGCGGGTCAGGAGAGGTCTGCTGGGCCCTGTGGGTCACCTCTCTGGCCAGGAATCGAACTCATGATGAAGTGGCATTGGTTTCATAGTGCTGTGCTTTAACCTGCTGCACCACCAGGGAGGGCCCCCTCTAAACGTTTTTTTAACTTTGGCTACTAGTACATTGGAAACTCCTTCCATCTATCTCTCTTCCAAAAGCCTCTAAGCCCTACATGGGGCTTCTTTCACTTGAGGTCCCACTTTTCTGGACTCTTACTACCTCTACTTTGGTTACTGATTTGAACCTGCCAGCCTTGTTCCACATGATGGATTTTGAACTGACTGGAATGGTTTTATCCTAAATTTCTCCAAGGCAATCTCTTTTTTACAGGGTCTTGCTCAAGCTTCACTGTCTCAAGGTCTTTCCTAACCACCTATTTCAAACTGCACACACAGACACACACTCTGGCTTTGTTTCCAAAGAAGGTCACAGCAATCTCTTCCATCTCCTATGCTCTTTTGCAATGTGGTCTTGCCATTTTTCCATCAAGAAGTGCAATGTGGGGCTGCTTTCTCTTCTTGAATCTGAACTGGTCAATCGTGTTTTGACCAATGGAATGTGGCTGAAGTGACACCCTGAACTACATCTTGGTCACCTTTATAACTCTCCCCAAGGCTCATACAATACACTTTCAGCAGGCTTTCATTATACACTTGTATATTGAAAAGGAAAGTAGTATTTGAAATCATGGGTTAGGGTCTGATAAAATTCATCCCTACTCATGTACTTAGCAGAGCAATAACATAAAATACCTGTGCGAACATGTTCTATCAAAACAATCTCTCTCCTTAAAAGTTGTATTTCCTAAGTAGGTTTTGTTGGACATACAAAGGCATTTAAAAAATATTGATCTTATATTCATCCATCTAGCTAAATCTCTTAATTCTAAAATCTGTTTATTTCTTGCAGATTTCTATGTGGACAATCACATTGTCTACCAGTCACGACATTTTGTTCCTTCATTTTGAATATCTACACACCTCTATTTTGTTTTGTTACTGCAATGGGAGGTCTCCCAAGTTGGTATCCAACAGAATTGGTTGCAAGATGCATTTTTTTTTCTTGACTTGAATTTAAAAGAAACAGTTCTAATTTTACTTTTAAGATTTATTTTGCCTATTTATATTTACAAGAGCTGGGGTAGAGGCCAGAGGTGCGGGTCAGGGTTGGGGGAGGTGAGAGGACTCACCAGAGACAGAGTGGGGAGCAGAATAGGTGGATCTACTGAAATCCACTGCTGAGGGGAGCAGCAGGCAAGACAGGAGAGGTCTGCTGCACCATGTGGGTCACTGCCTGGCCAGGATCTCAGTGGCTGTAGACAGCTTCCTAGAGCTGAGACTTAACATCTTGTGCAGTAGGGAGCCCCAATACTTTTTTTTTCTCCTTGGCTTTGCCAATGTGTTAGCTTATCCCTTTCACCAGGCTAAGAAAGTTCCCTCTGTGCAGCTGTCAGCGTATTGCCTTTCAGCTTCCAACTTAGGGTTCACTGCTGGCTGTGCTGTAGTGGGGATGGCGGGTCGCTACTTCTTCCCTACCTGCCATGCACGGTGGGAGTGGAGGTGCTGAGTGGGGGAAGTACTGTCTCCCTGTGTCCATGTGCTCCTCTTGCCAGGCTTCTGCCCTGTGTGCAGCTCTCCAGGATGCCCTTCCTGCCTTCTTGCAGCAGCAGGGGTATGTGTGTGTGTGTGTGTGTGTATGTGTGCACAGTAGCTGGGCCCTTAGCCTGCAGAGGTGAGCAGCAGCCCGCAGCCCTCCAGCACTCTCAAGTGACTCACAGAGGTGTGTTGCTAGGGGACACCCCCAGGTCGGGCCTCCCCCCGGACTTTGGTAAAGCCACCTTCGTGGTCAGTTCCAAGAGTTTTCTGTGGACCCTGCCCCGAGCACCAAGAGCCTGGGTTTCCAGGGGGTTTGCTGGCAGGCAACGCCTGGATGTCTCTGTCAACCAGTGAGGCGTGGCTGTGCTTTCTCCAGTGCCTGGATTGAGTCCAGGGGTGCTGGGTGTGGCCCCAAAGCCCCCCTCAGGTGCCATGCCTCAGTGTAGGGTAGGGCTGCTCCCTGCTCTCCAGAGTGATCTGACAGTTCCCCTTGAGGGTTCTCTTTACCTGCCACTAGCCAATCCCTCACTCATTCCCTGATGTAGTTAACAATTCTTTATATTCAGCCTCTATTCTTCGCATCACTGTGTGGTTGCTATGTCCTGACTAGACTTAACCTAACTCTGGGGCCTCCAACCAGTCTTGGGCAGATCCAGTTTCCTTACCCCTTCTCTAGGGGGCTTGCAGAGCTGTTAAATCCCCTTCCACAGCCTGCACCAACCTTCAAGACCTAACTTTATGAGATGGTTCACTCTTCACACAGACCCAGAGTTCTGTCTTGACAGTCCCTTCCACAGGGCATCCACCCAAGGGGCCCCCGTGGCTATAGCATGGAGAGAAGCCCACCGCTCTGACCAAACAGATCCTATGGTTCAGGCTCTTCAAAAACACCCTATTTGGGCAAAGAAGGCTGTGCATGGTCAGTCCTCTGCAGACAGAAGTGGGTGTCTGAACTTGCCTCTATGCCACAGCAGCAGCAAGTTCCTAAGTATTTTAATCTCTTGGTTTCAGACGAGAGTGAGTTGGGCAGGCCCAGGGAGTCTTTTCTCGCCTGTGAAGTCCCACTCTGCTGGATGCTGTGGAATGTACTGTGGGTAGACACCATGAGGGGTGGATCAAAGGTGACAAGGAAGACTGAGGTGCCCCTTCGAATTGCCTTTATTCCTCCTTCTTACCCCTTTGAAAGGTCACCTGTCCCTCTCCTTTCTCCATATGTGCATGCCCAACACTGGGAACTGAGAGCCCTTGCCACCGTCCCTGCTTCTCTTGCCAAGAGATCACCCCGACTCCTCTAAGTCCCTGCAGGATCAACCTCCCCAGTAACACGAGAGCAGGGCTTTTTCCAACATGTGTCATCTTGGTATGTGTTTCTAAGGTTAACCGAGGCCCTAAGGTTCAAGAGAAAGTGCTTCCATAACTTAAAGAATGAAGAGTACGCAGATTTCGGGTAATCTCCTGAAATAATCTTTTTATCGGAGCAACCTATCTTGAAGGCAGGGCACACAACCAGAAGCAGGATTTGTCATAAGTAGTCATTCCTTCCTTGTGATGTGAGATGCCCCCTCTCCTTGATGCCCCAGGCGCCGGGCCCCTATCCCATTCCTTCACCCAGGACATACACCTTCAGGTTGTCCTATTTACTGGAGAATTTACAGCCATGTAAATTCTGCACATGTTGTAATTAAATGTGGCCTTTTCCTCCTGATAATTTATCTAATGTTACTTTCTTTGCTTGACCAGTCCCAGAAGAACAGAGGGGTGTGGAAGGGGAGTATGTTCCCCTGTCCCCCGACACCCCTCTCTCCTAGTGAGTGTGGGCTCAAGTGGTGTTTGGGAGGAGAAGATAATAAATAGAAGCTAACCTCATTTGAGGTTTGCATGTGGCACTTCTGGAAGTGTGTCTGAGAAATAAAACCCCCAACTGTCAGGGAATAAAGGACTTTTATTTTAGGTATGTAAAGATGACACATGAACAGAGGTATGAACTGTTCGCGGTGAGGTCAAGGCTCAGTCGTTATCAGGAGAATAACTCTAGACCACCTTATTGGAGATGTGGGAGAAAGGACAGTCAAACAAAGAAGGAAAACGCTTAAAAAGTTTAGTCTGACTGCATGCTTTGTTCACTGCAGCACCGTTCACTGTATGTGCCCAAGGGCAGAGAGTGGATTCTGAAGATGTGGCATATAGACACAATGGAATATTATGCAGTGAGAGAAAAGGACAAAGCCTTGCCATTTTCGATAACATGGCTGGAACTTGAGGGGAAAACGCCAAGTGAAATAAGTCAGAAGAAGGAAGACAAATATCAGATGATTTCATATTTGGGGAAAAAAAAAGGGAAAGAACAAGAACAAACCTTTATCAACCAAAACAACCTGACTTAAATGACTGTAGAACTGAGACTACAAGAGGAGCTCAGGGGTGATGGGGCCCAGTGGACTAAGGTGGAGGATCATGGGTGCCATGGTGGTGGGGTGGGCTGGTAGCATACATCTGAAGAGCTGTGAACCTACACCTCTGAATAATACAATGTTGAAAACCAACATTACCTCAATAAAAAAATAATAATACAATTGAAAAAATAAGATTAGTCTGACTGCTTACAAAGCTCATATTTTAACCTCAATTTCCATCTCACACCATAACGATTCTGTAATCATAGAAGAGGCCACACCAGCTCTGCTCCACCTGCTCCTTGATGAGAACCAGCCCAACACTGCCTGCAACGAGGAGCCTCACCATCCCCTGCCTCCCACGGAACACGCCACTCACTGACAACGCCCTCTGGCGCCATCTGAAGGAACTGCAGTTCCTAGGCTACCTTCACCCCCCATTAGAAAGGCAGGGCTGGGCCCTCCCTGGTGGCACAGCAGGTTGGAGCACAGCACTGTAAGCTGGTAGCCACTTCAGTGCATGTTGATTCCCCGCCCTGGAGTTGACCCACATGGCGCAGCAGACCTCTCTTGACCTGCCCACTGCTCCCTCAGCAGTGTACTTCTTCAGTCTGCCTATTCTGCTCCCCACCTGTCTCTGGTGAAGCCTCTAACTCCCCTGCACCTCTGGCTTGTACCCCAGTTCTGTATCCATATAAATAAAATCTTTAGAAAGAAAGAAAACTTAAAAAAACAAAAACAAAGAACTGGGCTTCATAAAATGTCCTGAGTCAAGGTCATCTGAAGAAAGAATTTTTTCCTCAGTTCAACACTGCCCCTGCGGTTACTCCAGAGAACTAAAGATGCGGACACAAAGCAGGCTGCCTGACTAGACTTGGTGTTTGAAAAACGGATGTCCGCAACGCCATTTCGCCCAACGGCGTTCATCTCTGCCCTCTCTCTTCCACTGAGTGTAGTTAGTCTAGTTCCTTTTCAAACCGAATGAAGGAAAATGTTTTCACCTCGTCAAGACCAGCGTTATTAGCGGTCACCAGAGTGAAAGCCGACCAAACACCAAACTCGTCTGTTCTTTCACTTTTAGAAATAACTAGAACAGGCGACACTTTTCTCAGCCTCGTGGTCACCAGTCACTTAAATAATTCAAGAAATCTGTGGAAGCGGACTTGGGACACCACTACACAGCCGCCTCCCCTCCCCCGCACACACATCCCGGCCTGAGTCGGAATGTCACTCTCATTTTTCGTTTCAATCAGAAGAAGAAAGAGAAGAAAAAGATACTCTGAGGCCTAATCAGGTACTGTACCGGTGTTCTGAGGGACGAAAAAAAAAAACCCTCAAATTACTTCAGGGGGTTTGTCAGCTCTATTGTCAGCATAGTCAAGTGGCCCTGAGGAAGGGAGCCAGGAGCACTGAGAGAAAATAGCAGAATTCTAATCTGCTTTTTAAAGGCTCTTGGGCCCAAGTATAGCAATTCAGATATCCCTGTTTGAAAGCAGCAGGGCAGATTTGTTAGAAGACAAAAGCTCCAATTAGTATTTTCCACACCCTTTCACAATTTTCTCTCCTGCTTTTGGCTCTGAAACCCTTTATCCCGGGCCTTTGTGCTGGCAAGAGGCGGGTGGAAGGGCATGGTGGGCCTGGGCGGGAGCTGGCGCTTGAAAAGAGGGCCGGCGCCCTGGTGCCCGCCTCCTCCTGCCGCCCAAGTCAAGTAGGTGGACGCAGCGGTGAGGCCCAGGCGCCCAGGCGCGGGGTGGTGGGCAGGGGTCCTACCTGAGTGCACAGAGATGCGTGCCTGGCGAATGACCACTTGTGGTGCGATGGGCGTCGAGGGCCGCAGCCGATGCAGGCCTCTGGCCACCTGCAGGAGCGGGCCTGACGCGTCGAGGCCGTACAGGAACCGGTCAGTGACGAAGACAATGGCTGCAGCCGTGGCGCAGTCCCCAGCGAGGATGGAGGCCCTCAGGGACACCTGCGGAAATACCCAGGGGACACAGTGAGAGGCAGGGGAAGAAGGGAGTTCTGGAAGCAAGTTTAGTTCCCTAGGTGTGTTTCCAAAAGGAGGAACAGGACGCAGAGCTCGGATGAGTGAAATACTCCACTGCATAGCTGAGCCCCAAGAAAAGGAAGGTGGCGAGAAGCCCAATGTGCTTGTGGGATACAGCAGTAGTTGTAATAGGGAAAGCTTTCCTTTCCCTATTATATTTTGAACAGTATACAGAAGATTAATGCACATGTCCTGTTATTTAAAAAATGCAAATAACACAGAGAGGAATGAAGAGTGTCTCTCAGTTCCCTTCTTCCTTCACTCCCACTCCCCAGTTTTATTCCTACTGGTCTTGATAATGGCTCCCTAGAGTCATTTAGATTCTTTTACCTTTTATGGATACTTAGATTCCTTGTCCTCCTCTCCTTCTTCTCCTCCTTGTCCTCCTCTTCTTCCTCTCTCTCCCCTCCTGTCCCATCCCCCTACTCTTCCTTCCACCTGCCCTCGGTCTTTCTTAAATGAGAATACACTAGAGATTATTCTGCAGCTTGGTTCTATCCGTCACCATAACATCTAGGGCAGTTGAAACCAATTCATGACATCCCACCTCACTTATTGTCTGCATTTCAAATGAGGAAAAAACACAGAATTTAAGCTAAAATTGTGAATTTCATTTATATGATCATGTTGAGTAATAAATAAGAGAAAGAAGAAAACAGGGCTGAGTTTAAAGTAACAAAGAACGAGAACTAGGGTAAATGAGGCAAGCTGTTATGAGAAGACATCATCTTTTGGTCTCTACATACATTTTTTGGTCTCATACATCCTTAGTCATGCAGCTAGTAGCATGAACTACTTTACCACCCAATAGTACTCTTTCCAGCTATTAAACTAAACCAGATGTTTTTCTGGGCACGCTCACTTGCATAGAAAGCCTGGAAAGCCTTGTAGGCATGCTCTATTTTTCTACGATTTAACCACAAAAAGCAGTGCCTTCTTCACCATATAACCCTGAGGACCATCTAGGGGCCAGTTGTAGTGCTAAGTGCTAAGAAAGTTCTCACAACTTTCTTAAGAGGCTGATTCCATTACTCTCATCACCATTTATAAATAGGAACTCCAAGATTCCCAGGTTAAATAAACGGTTCCAGATCACATGACCTGTGATTCAGAACTAAGATTTGAATACAGAAAGTCCGGGGCAGATCCCACATCCTCAAGCCCCAAGTTGGCGGGCTTATCTAGGCAGGAAAACTGGAGAAGATGGCTATCAGTGATCAGATACTCACAGGTATGTCAGGAAGTCCCACATACGCAGCCAGTGTTCTTGGAGCTGTGGTTCTTAGCCCAGAGGGGAGAGAGGATGCACTCACCTGGGGAGGGAGCTACCTCAGCTTTTCAAAATCTACCCAGAACAGGTCCTTTAGAGTTTCAATTTGACACTTGCATATGTCTAACTAAAACTGACCCAAATTACTATATCTGGCACATTCTAGAATTCTAGCTATGATATTTATTTACATGATCTGATTTTTGGTGTGCACGAGTGTGTGTGTGTGTGTGTGTGTGTGAGAGAGAGAGAGAGACAGAGAGACAGAGATGATCAACAGCACTGAAAATAGAACATAAAATATATTTATAGGTGTTTATCACCAAATGATGCCTAAGCAGGGCAATAATCCTGTTTTCAAATGGATGTTGCCGTAACATAGGAAGGTGTTTAACCATCACTGAGTTAATTAAGTCTGGAAATTGGTAATTGGCACTTGCATTTATCCTTCTGTTCTAAGTCTGTGATGGTTCAAATTGTGACAGAGGAGCAACTTTTTTAAGGGGAGGATGGTTTCTTTTCTCCTCTGTTGCTCCCTGCCCAGGAAAGGGAGTTCAATCAGCACTTCTAGTTGCTTTCCATAGCTCGCCCACTCAGTCTACCTGGGGGACTGGAGGGACTTCCAGTGACCCCACTGGTGAATCTGGGAAGCCAAAGGTGGGCTTAGCTCTTTTCTTGGAACAAGCTGCCCACAGGAAGCAGATTCCTCACTTCTAGATCCTAAGACTTATCTAGAAAACTGACTATTTCATTTGCCCAGTAATGCCTGCACCTGAATGAAGTCAATGTAATTCTGGGTTCCATCTACCAGAAACCCCCCAGACCCCAGCCAATTACTCTTATATTAAGTTAGAGTTTCCAACATAGCCTTTACTAAAATTAAAGATAATATTTAATCTCTTGTCTAACTTTCACTTTTCAGGTGCTCAGAATCCAGGAGGGGGTTGGAGTTGTTACTTATTGAATCCTTCCAAATACACAACTATCCACTTTTTCCTATTCTCACAACAATCTTAAGAGGCCAATAACCCTTTCTAAGGGAAAGTGGGTCTGCGGTCCCAGTCTCTAAAGCTGCCAGATATTTTGACTTCCTTCCTCTACCACACCACCATTTTCACAACTAATGTAGTAACACCCATCTGGCATCTCACCTTGTGACTCTGTGGCCTAACTTGAATGAGAGGAATGCATTAATCTGAACTAAGAAACATAGGAAGGACTTGCAGATTGGTGCTGAATGGGAAGAGGCAGGAATTAGAGCATATCAGTGTGAGAACCCCAGAATGATGACTCACTCCAAAGTCACTGCTTCATGAGTGTCATTTTTAGTTCCAGGTTCCTTTAATGTCCCAGGTGTATCTTCCTAACAATGTAAACCCCCAATTTTATGAGGTTATGTGGCTAAGCCTTGCAGTCAAAAACAAACAAACAAACAAAAAACAAAAAGCAACTAAAACCGAAATGCTCTCAAAAAGTTTGGCCAACTAAGCCATTAATCTAAAAACTACAAGATTTACAGTGAGAACAATTCCATCATTTGTCATTCATAGAATGTAGATTGACCAAAAAGATGGAAAAGAAAGCACAGGTTTCTATGTGAGGCTCATTCTGCTCAATAAGGCGAAGCTCAGATCGCGTCCCTCTTCTGCTGGGTGCACACACAGCAAGAGTTTTCTTTTGCACTGTCAACTGTTCCCTGTAGAAAATGCAACTTCAGCTACTGCTAGGCTCCTTCCAACTTCAGGGTGGGAAGAGCAAACCTATTCCTGCCACCCTCTCCTGGCACAAAGCCACATGACCTCAGTCTTTGATGCTGCAATTTGGCATGTGCTTGATGTTCAGTCTTTTCTTCCATCTCATAGGGGTCCCTTTCTGTTTTGGGGTGGCCATGGTACCCTCTTGGGATGTGACATTCAGAGGCATGCACTGTGGCGGTGCTCCTACTCACGGTCCTGAAAACAACGGTCTCCACTTGTGAAGCACCATCTAGCTTTATCAAAAAAATTCACACATACAATTTTACTTCAAAGTGGAGTAACTATAAAATCTAAGAAAAGGACACTGTGCAAATCAAAACCACAATGAGATACCACCTCACCCCAGAGAGAATGGCACATCTTAAAACAACTAGCAACAACAAATGTTGGCAAGGATGTGGAGAAAAAGGAATTCTCCTGCACTGTTGGTGGGAATGCAAACTAGTACAACCACTATGGAAAATTGTTTGGAGGTTCCTCAAACTGCTAAACATGGAGTTTGCATATGACCCAGCAATCCTACCCCTAGGTATCTACCCAGAGGACACAAAAACATTAACTCAAAAGGACACCTGCACCCCTAGGTTTACTGCTACTCTATTTACAATAGGGAAGATGTTAAATCAACCCAAAACCCCCCAAATAGATGACTGGATCAAGAGGGTGTGATACAAACACATAAGGAATATCACCCAGCAATCAAAAAGGATAAATTCATGCCTTTTGCAGCAACATAAATGGTGTAGGAGGGATCATGCTCAGTGAAACTAGCCAGAAAGAAAAGTAAAAATGCCAGATGGTTTCACTCATAGCAGAATCATAAAGGATCAAAAAAAAAAAAAAGGCAATTGTAATAAAATAAAACCAAAAAACAACAAATAGCTATAAACCAGAGACATCCTACAGGGGTGGAGGGAGAATAGGATCAAAACTGAAGCGGGAAGAGTGCACGGGACTATGGTGCACCACCAATTCATCATGAATGACTCATGATGAATTGGTGGTGGGAAGACCACGGGGATTACAACCGAGATAGAAACATGCACAAAAAGAAGAATGATTTAAAATAAATAAATATATTTAAATTAAAAAAAAAAAAAGAAAGAAAAGGACACTGAGGGGAAGAGTTAAGAGTATTTCCAAAGCCACAAAGTCAAAAGGCTCAGGGCAGACAACCACATACACACCATATCACACCACATTTACCATCTTCGCCATGTTTAAGTGCAGAACTTTTTCATCTTGAAAATATGAAACTTTGTACCCATTAAGCTCTGAGTCCCTACTCCTCAGGCCCTGGTTAATCACCACTGTATTTGTTTCTATGAATTTGACTGTTGTAGGTACAAGTAAGTGTTTGTCTTTTTTTGTGATTATTCAGCATAATGTCCTCAAGGCCTCATTCATATTACAGGAAGTATCTTCTTTTTAAGAAGATACTCTAAGGTCTTATATATATGATAATTAGTTTATAACTGTGTGTTGTTAGACTTTGGGGTGCTGTAATCCCTTAGGTGATATGAATAAGGCTGCTATGAATACGTGGGTACAAACATCTCCTTGCAACCCTGATTTCAATTCTTTTGGACACACATCTAGAAGTGGGATTCAATTAGGGCAATTTTTGTGAAAATGCCGTATCACTTTTCATAGAGATTGCACTCCCTGTCCCCACTAACAGTGCACACGCTGCCATTTCTCCTCATCCTCAACCCAAATCTTTTTTTCTAAAGATTTATTTATTTATGCATACAGAACTTTGGTCCAAGCCAGAGGTGCAATGCAGTGAGAGTGTTCACCAGAGACAGAGTGGGGAGCAGAACAGGCAGACTGACGAAGTACACTGCTGAGGGGAGCACCAGGTAGGTCAGGAGAGGTCTGCTGCTGTGCCATGTGGG